GGAGCCGGCCCCGGACCTTCCCGGCTCGCGTCCTCCGCTGACCGGAACGTTTGTCCCTTGCATTCTGCCGACCGGCTCCGGGAGCCCCGCTGCGACGAGGTGAGAGCTTAGGGGGAGGGGAGGGACGAGGTGCCCGCAGAGGAATGTGTCGAGTTGAGAGATGGGGGGAGACGGGGTCCCTGCGCGCACGACCCGGCGGGGCACGGCCGGGCGCGGGAGCTGGGATCATGTGCTGTTTGTCCCGCGGAGGGGGAGAGAGGTGCCAGCCAGGCTCGGGGCGGCCGTCGGGTGGCTGGACAGGAGGACAGGGGCCGCCCAGAGAGGCCGGGGCAAGGCCTGCGGGGCAGCTGCCGGGGGAGGGGAGGCTGGGTACAGGTGGCCCGAGGCCCCCTTTCGGGTTGATCGGCCCCACCCCAGACACCGGCTCTTGCGGTCCCCCACGGTGCCTTTCCGAGGTCCCCTCCGGACCCCAGCCTTAGCCCCTCTGTACCTCTGCTCTGCATTGCCTGCACCCTCGGCCGGCCAGGGTGCTTCCGTGGCGTGCGTCCCTTCTTCTACCCCCCCAGTGCCTCATCCCTGTGTCTGGGGTCAGGGCTGTACTTCCTGAGATAGCTTCTGGGGTCTCCTTAGTTCCCTTCCTGTCCTGGGACTAATCCCTCTCTCGCCTCTTCTAAGCCTTGCTCCGCCAAGCCTAAGGAGGTGAGGCCCAGCATGACAGGGCTTGGGGTTCTCTGGGGCTGCTAAGGGCCCGGGCATCCCCGAATCCTCCACCCTGCGGTCCGTGGGCGGGGGCTGCTCAGCCTCTCCTCCCAGGGTGTGAGCACCCGATCACCCACATTCCTGGGCTCCAGCCTGGCACCTTCCCCAGAGCAGCGGACACACGCCATAGCACTAGCTCCAGGCGGCCCCAGCCGACACTGTTGCCTTCCTTTCCCCTCACTCCCCTTTGGGGGAGTTCTCTTGCCCCCCAAAGTCACAGGTGTCCGTCCCCAGCAGGAGCACCGGGGTTTGTTGGGATGGATACAGGATGACCCCACCCTGCCCTGCCCATTGTCCTGGATCCTGAGGAGGAAGTGCTGAGGGACTGGGAAAGGGGTTTGGGGCCCATGAGGCAGGCTGTGTATGTGTGTGTGTGTGTGTGTGTGTGTCCATGTCCCTGTCCCTGTCCTGGTCTGCACAGCTGACCCCAGGAACTTAGCCCCTCAGCTTTCCTCGCCGTGTGTGGGCCTGAGATGGGAGCCTGGCCCGGTGCGGAATTGGGAGCCCATCTCCCTCCTGGGCTCCCTTCCTGTCTGGTTGGAATCCTCTGTGCCTCCCCTTCCCTTCCTCTTCCCAGTTTTCCTTTCCTGGCACCACCTCCATCCAGCCTGTCAGCTCGCTCACTTCCCGCATGCTCTTGGTGCCTGTGGCTTTCTGCCCTCTTCCCACCCGCCTCAGTGTCGTGGAATTGCCCTCTGTTCAGTCTCTCTCTCTCCTTTATCTAAATGTTCAGTACACTTGTGAGTGACCAGGAATAAAAATATCACCGTCTGTGCCCTTGGATTCACATTGCGTTTGGCTCCTTTGGAGGGGCAGTCATCTTCACCTTTCCCAGTGCCCCCCTCCCACGCACCCCCCACAGGCCTCTGGAGCCACCTGTGCCTTCTAACCACTCTTTCGGCGCCACCAACAGGGTTTCTCCCTGCTGCCCCAGCTGGAGTGGCCAGGCCCCAAGCGTAGGATGGGACTCCTCCTACGAGGGCCGGTAGCAGCCAGAACTGATACAGACCCCCTGATCTGGGGCCACGACGCCAGGTAAGTCAGAGGGAAGGCCTAGGGATGCGCTTGGGCGAGAGGCAGGACCACTTTTGGAGTTTTCTCAGGAGAGATACTAGGGGGACAGGAACTGGGTCCTTGAAATTCTGGGTGGTGGGGAGGTGGCTCTTGGGAGAAGTTAAGAGGCAATGTCAGGGTCCCCCGAGGGGCTCTAACTACCCTTTCCTTCTCTGCCCTCTAGCTGAAGAGGGTGGGAGTATCTGGAGATATGGCTGGTGCCTCTGTGAAAGTGGCCGTGAGGGTTCGTCCCTTCAACGCCCGAGAGACCAGCCACGATGCCAAGTGTGTGGTCAGCGTGCAGGGCAACACCACCTGTGAGTGAGTCCCAAGGCCTGGCTGGGCACAGCAGGAGAGCTGGGCCTCCGACCCGGGCCAGTCCCAATGGGCCGAACCAGGGGCCTGCCTGGGCCAGGCACGGACAGAGCAGGTGCTCGTAAGGGCAGTGCTGGGGCAATTTGGCCTTTCTGTGCCCCTGGGAGGGGAACTGTTGGCCTGGCGCCCTCCATTGCCCAATCCAGAAAGGCAGCTCAGTGGGGGCGGGTCCTGGGAAGCCAAAATTAGCTTTGGTGACTGGAGGGGGTTGGGAGTATTAAAGGGGAGCGAAGAGCTAGGACAGTGGTGGGAGTGGGAGCACCTGGATTTGGGACCTTGTTGGGTGTGGGCAGAGGTTGGGAGTACCTGACCTTGGTCCTCCTCTCTTTGCCTTCTCCTGCGCCCCTCAGCCATCATCAACCCCAAACAGAGCAAGGATGCCCCCAAAAGCTTCACCTTCGACTACTCCTACTGGTCACATACTTCGGTGAGGCCTTGGCTTGGGAAGAAGTGCAACAGTGGGGGCAGGGCATTTGGGGCCGGGGAGGGGCTGTTGCTGGGAAATGGGCCACCAAGGAGTTGGGTGTGGGTGGGGGTGGGGGTGTGGGTGAGGGCGGCCAGGCTCCCAGGGTGATGGTAGCAGAGGAGGCCCCTTAGATTGTGATAGAGACCAAGTTGGGGGAGATAGGACCCCTTGGGATGACTGAGGATTGGCAGGAAATTGGTGGATGGGATTTTCTAGAGAGGGAAAGGGCATGATGGTGGGAGGTGGGCGGACCTTTGGGCAGTGATTGATGATGGGGACAGGACTCTGGAGATCCAGAAACTTAAGGACACAGTCATCCCGGGGTCCTTGGCTGTCTTTCTCTGCCCCCTCCCTCCAGGCGGAGGACCCCCAGTTTGCGTCTCAGCAGCAGGTCTATCGTGACATCGGCGAAGAGATGTTGCTCCATGCTTTCGAAGGCTACAACGTGTGCATCTTCGCCTACGGGCAGACCGGGGCCGGGAAGTCCTACACCATGATGGGGCGCCAGGAGCCGGGGCAGCAGGGCATTGTGCCCCAGGTAACACGCCTGGGACCTCACAGGGCAGTCTGGGTGGGGTGGGGGCTGGGGTGGGGAGGCCATGCACATTGGCAGCTGCTCCAGAGGGAAGCAAGGACTGGCCTGGCTTGTCTGCGCGGCTTCATGATAGGGGATGTGACAGAGCATGGGCTGTAACCTAGGGACCCAGGACCCTTTGGGGATTGACTCTTTTTCCAGTTGAAGGCAGTAAGGTCTGGTGAGAGGAGCCAGGCTGTTGAAGACAGAGAAACCCTTGGCCTCGAACGCTCCTCATTCTACCCCTGACCTGGCCTCATAAATGTCTTCAGGCTTAGTTCCCCTCCAGGCTTGTGCACTACCATCAAGGCGTTGCGCGCAGGGAAAGCCCATCCTGGGTAGCTGAGAGTTGACGCCGGTTCTCTGGAGTCGGGACGCCTGGGTGCAGGCTTTGCAGCCTAAGTGTGCATCCTGGCTCCCTGAATGCTAGCCCTGCGACCCTGGGCAAGTGTGAGGCTCTCTGGGGCTCAATCTTCCCATCTGTAGAATGGTGATGCCCCTTCCCCTTTCCGAGGTTTGGTGTGAGGGGTCCCACGGGGCAGGGCAGGGCCCGGTGCTGGGCACTGTGGGTGTGCCGGGAATAGGAGCTCTGTGCCCCCCCTTACTCTCCAGCTCTGTGAGGACCTCTTCTCCCGAGTGAATCAGAACCAGAGTGCCCAGCTGTCCTACTCTGTGGAGGTAAGCCCGAGTGTGCGTGGTAGGTGGGCAGCAGGCCAGCGAGCCGAGCGAGTATGACTGAGGACGGGCTGGAGTCCTGGCTCTACCCGTTTCTGACTGTGACTGGGGGACCAGTGATTGGTCCTTCAGGGCCGGAGTGTGTTCATGTGTGACACGGAGGCCACTTGGTAGAGTTGTTTGTTAGGGAAATCAGGTGCACTGGTCGACGGGGAGCTGTGGAGCACCAGGCACCCTGCGAGGCTGGGACCTGGGTGCTGGCCAGTGGCGTTTAGGGTGGCCTCACCGGTTGGTGTCCCTGCAGCTCTGCTACTTCTCCTCGGCTGCTCCCACAGGTGAGTTACATGGAGATCTATTGCGAACGAGTCCGAGACCTGTTGAACCCCAAGAGCCGGGGCTCTCTGCGGGTCCGGGAACACCCCATCCTGGGCCCCTACGTGCAGGACCTGTCGAAGCTGGCTGTGACCTCTTACGCAGATATCGCTGACCTCATGGACTGTGGCAATAAGGCGCGGTGAGACAGGCTAGCGGAGAGAGGGAGAGGGGACCGAGCAGAGGAGACCAGAGGCAGGAGGCCTCTGACCCTGTCTCCTTTCCCCCAGGACCGTGGCTGCCACCAACATGAACGAGACCAGCAGCCGTTCCCATGCCGTCTTCACCATTGTCTTCACGCAGCGCTGCCACGACCAGCTCACGGGACTGGACTCAGAGAAGGTGGGAGCCCAGCCGCACGTCGTCCCCACCCCACCTGGTGGCAGCAACAATGATGAGATGAAAGGGCTGGCTGCTTCCCTCCCTCCCTCCCTGCCTCCCTGCCTCCTTCCATGTCCATGCTGGGCCAGGCCAGGGCTCTGCGCATACACAGCTCTGTTCTCCTCCCCCAAGAACTATGTTCCAATCTCTCCTTTGCCGCTTTCTCCCTCTAACTGGCCTTCTCCAGGCAGGCTGGGCTCTCACCGTGTTCCCTGCCCTAACGCACTGTGGCCAAACCAATTTGCAAACGGCTAAGTGAAAGAAATGAGCGTGTAGCCAACTCGTCACTCTTGCTTCCACGTATTTTTTCTTCTCCATTCCTTTTCCTGCACCCCCTCTTGGCTTTTCTTCCTTCATTAGTTACCCAAACGCCTGCTGACTATACATTCCCCGGATTTCCCTGCCCTGTCTCCCACCAAGCAAGCCCAGTCACCTCCTGCCTCTTTCCTCCGCCCGCAGGTTAGTAAGATTAGCTTGGTGGACCTTGCTGGGAGCGAACGGGCTGACTCCTCCGGGGCCCGGGGCATGCGCCTGAAGGTGAGAGGGGCTGAAGGAGTTGGGGATGGGTGGGCGTGTTGGGGCTGAGCCTGGGTCTCTGGCTGGGGAAGTAGAGTCAGGTAGAAGACGAAGGGGTCTCACACCTTATGTTCCTCCTCCTCTCCCAGGAAGGCGCCAACATCAACAAGTCCCTGACCACGCTGGGGAAGGTGATCTCGGCCCTTGCGGACATGGTAAGTAAGGCCTGGCGGCTAGGATGAGCTGGGGCTCTGGGACCAGCGGCAAAGGGGTGCGCCCCCACCCCCTGACCTCTTCCACCTTCCATTCTCAGCAATCAAAGAAGCGGAAGTCAGATTTTATCCCTTACAGGGACTCTGTGCTCACCTGGCTGCTCAAGGAGAATCTGGGTGAGTGAGCCCCCCCCCCCCAGCTCCCGTCCCACCAGCCGGTCTGCCAGCTCCGCTCAGTTCATCTGACAAAGCCCCTGGCCAGTGAGAACCTCCAGTTTCTCAGTTGTCCTGCTGACCACTGCCTCTCGTTTGTCTCACTTTCCTGCTGTCCCCGAGGCCACCCTGCAAAAAACGGCCTGATGCTCCACCCTCTCTGCCAAGCCAAGGCCCTTACTGACCTGGCACCCCGTGACCTCTCACTGACCCCACCCCTTTGCTGATTTCATCTTCCTCCGCTCTGTCATCTCGGGTGTCTCTCTGGCCTCGTTCCCACGCTCTGAGTCCCAGGTTGCATGGTTAGCTCCACAGCTTATCGCTCTGCCCGCCTGGGTCATGTCTGCTCCCTACCTGGGCACTGAGGGCCTTTTTGACCCCATGACCCAGGCTGACTAGGAACGTGGGGTCTGCTCT